TCTCAATCCTAACAACAGTCTACAAGATGGGCATCAACCATATTCTCTTTCAGAGAAGAATTGCAGTGAATGACTTTGTGTAGAGAGAAATTTCTTTAGGAGAAAACACAGTAAAACTACAGGGTGAAAGACAGAAAAATCTTGAACATATTGCCAAAACTGCTTTGCAGAATGGTTTTAAATGTAGCAAAGTTCACATCCAACTAATTACTGATTTGGGATAAACTGAAAGTTTCATTAATGAAATTAGCTATTTTAGTGTCTCAGTGCATGTTATGGGTTGAATGTTTGGAGGACAATGCCGTCCCTACCCCCACCCCCTACCACACACACACATATGTTTAAGTCTTAACCCCTACTATTTCAGAGTGCGACTGTACTTGTAGTGTCAACTGAAAAAAGTGCACCAAAAAAAAAGGTGAGAGCTGTGAATTAAATGAGGACTATGGCCCAGGAGGCAGCTTCTCAGATTGCTCTGAAGAACTGCTCAAAAGAGGTAGGTGGAGAGGTCAGTATTATATGATTTTAGTGAAGGGGGTTACATGCAGTCAGGCACACATTTTGGCAGAGGTTTGCTGCTAGTCTTGAGGAGCAGATGTCTCCTTTGGAGACTTGATAATGATTTTAGTGCTTTTCTACATGTGAGGAGGTGCAAGACACTGGGCTCATGAACTCTTCTAAAAATATTGGTCTGAAGGCCTGTTTTGCCAGTTTTTCCCAGAGCAGAGAGTGCGTCATTCCTGATCTCCACCCTGAACTCCTTTCGGGGTGTGTTGAAGATCAGTGACTGTAGGGGCTAGTGACTTCATTCTTATAGAACCAGATGATAGGGTCTGTACCAAAGTAAATTATGATTAAATGAGGTCATTAGGGAGGGCCCTAATCCAATTTAGCTGGTGTTAAATGAAAAGAGATTAGGATACACACACACACAGGGGAAAGATAATGTAGACAGGAGATGGTCATCTACAAGCCAAGGAAAAAGGCCCCAGAGTAAACAGCCCTGCCCACACCTTGATCTCCAACTTCTAGTCCCTAGAACTGTGAGAAAAATTTCTTCTGTTTAAGCCACCCAGTTTCTGGTACTTTGTTATGGCCACCCTAACTTAGTGTGTAACATTAAAAAATGTTATTTGGGTGGAAACTGAACTTGTAACTTTATTTTTTAATGAGTGGAGTTGAACGTTTTTTCTTTTCTCTTGTGACTTGCTCATTCATACCTTACTGGTTTTTTGATCATACAGTTCTCTTTTGTCCTTTTAAATTGCAAAAAAGTTTTTTATTTTCATGTAGTTAAACCTAGTCCATCTTTGCTTTTGTCAAGTTTGTAAACTGAGAAATTCCATTCGTCTCCAGAGGAGTTCTTTGAAATGTTTTAAGTTTATTGTGTTTTCTTTAAAAAGCAGTTCTTTTATCCATGTGGAATTTTGGTGTATCCTGTGAGCTAAAGTTCTTTTTGCTTTTTTTCATCCATGTCATTTATCAGTTATCCTAACACAATTTATGGAATAACTTTTCTTTTTTAAAATAATTTTGGATACTGCAGTAATTAAACTCCTATATACACTGCTTTTTATATTCTTGTTCTATTATTTTATTATTCCCTACACCATCAGTTTTAACATTTGCAACTTTATAAAGATTTGGGTCTCAGGCCAAAGGGAGGGGAGCAAGTGGGGACCTAGCAGTGGCCCCTCAGCAAAAACTTATCACAGGGGTGGGGAAAACAAACACGGCTCCTGCTGATTCCCCTTGTGGATCTCAGTTTGCTTCTTTTTATGGACCTCTTAATGGACAGAACGTAATCCTCCACAGAATGTCTGAATTCTTGCATTCTTTGCCCTCCCATCACTGGATTGATTCTTTTTTTTCCGTTTCTTTAAACCCAAACTCCCACCTCACGTCATCTCTACAAAGTGTTCACAGTGAAACACATTTGGTCTGTTTTTAGATTCTTGAAGAATTAGTCTTTTATCAAGATGTTTAATGTATTTAAAGCTGGGAACCCATTGGGAGTTCACAAGTGCTGTATATGCTGGGTAGCGAAAGAAAAAAAAAGGCTAAAACCCCCACAAAACACTTTTTTTTAAAAAAATCAAATTTGCCAAGGTTTAGCTGCTCATTTACATTAGCGTGTGTGCATTTGTTCAGCCCCGTGGTGGTGAGTTTTGTTTCTTTCTCTTAAGACTGGGGTACAGTGGGCATCAGGGACTTTGCTAAGCCTGGTGAATTGTGTTGCTAAGGGCACAGGGCCCCTTCAGCCCCCAGAAAATCATCCTAACAAGGAGGGAGGCATCAACTACTCTGAGAAGAGAAATCAGATTTTGTTTTTTGAAATCGATTGGGATCTAAAGCTTGAAATAAATACTCACAATTTACATAGGAAAAATAAGATTGGGTTAATTCCTTTTTCATTATAATTTTTTTTTAAATTTCCATTGTCATATATTCTTCTAGATTTCCTTTAAAATTATTATGTGGCGTTCCCATCCACCACCTGAACCACAATTGGTACAAATTGAATGGAAAAGAACCATCACTTTCCTTTTTAATTCACTAGTGAAATAGTAACTAATCTATTCAGTTCACTAAACTGATTAAAAGTTAAGTCCTGTGTATTAAAATGTATCGACGTACATCTCTTTTAGCTCCTTAGACTCCTTAATGCTCTCATAGAGTAGGCATTGTCCTGTGCACCTTTGTTTCCAAATCTGGAAGCAGCTCAGTAAATTACTAGCTTTAGTTTTTCAAACAAAAATACATATCTTCCGAAATACCCAACATAAAAAAAAATGCAAAAAAGAAAAAAATACATACACTCCCCCCCCAAAACAAAACAAAAACCAAAATAGAGAAAAAAAATGCCTTACATAGGTAGCTAATAAACATGCTAAATGGATTTGGAAATTTCCAAGTTCAACAAGGTATAAATTACAACTATTCAATTTGCTGTTAACTAGAAGGTCTGCAGGCCTTCTACTCAAAAGAGAGCTCCAAGATTTAATAGGACTCAAGAATTCTAAGGGATAGGTCAGGTACAATTCTAGAGTGGTGAAGGAGGTTTCAGATTTTGTTTGATTATATTATCCCTTAAACTCATCCAACTCCCTTTGCTGTGAAACCATAATTATCTGGCAACTTCTGATAGTCTGGATCAAGGGTTGCCAAACTTTCTTAAAGGGCCAGATAGTAAATATTCTAGGCTTGCCACTTGCCGGCCATTTGGTATTTGTCACATCCAATCAACTCTGCTGTTGTAGCACAAAACAGCCAGAGGCATTACATAAACAAATAGGAATGAGTTCCAAGAAGATGTTACTTGCAAAACAGGTAGCCAGTCTGAGAGCTGTAGTTTGCCAAACTCTGATCTAAATGGGGAACTATATTACTTTTGTTTTAAAGAGAATTTGAGTTAATCAGCAATATTCTAGTCTTCTAAGTAGTTCACATTTACTGCCAAGTAATACATGGAACAGAACTGCTAATGTGATCAGTGAACAGGTCTATTCAGTATGAGTGGATTTTGATCCTCATGGTACCTACAAGAGGCCCAAGGTGGGCAGCCAGTATACCTCCTCATCTATGAGATCCTTATGTCTATAACTGAGTAGACCTAAGAATGAGCTCTAAGAACTAAAAAGTCATCATGTTGGCACCACTAAAAAAATGGCAGTTTGGAATAAAAATTGAGGAATGTCAGTCAGTAAAAAAAACTTGATAATCAGTAAAATCCTCTCAAGGGTGGTGACAAAAAATTCAGTGACATGTTTAGAAAAGAAAGATATCAAGTATAAGAAGTGGCAAACCAAATTCTGGCCCAAAAAAGCCTTAATGCTAATTCTAGATACTAATGATTAAATTTAAGTGATCAAATTAGTATAACTGGCCCCTTGGTTTAGTGGAAGGTATGGAGGGTACTGATAGTAACAAGAGTATAACTACAAGATAACTCCCAAACTGCAGTTAAGGAAGAATCAAAACATTAATTATATCAGCCATCTGCAGAAATGATACAAAACAAGAATTTTGCTATCAGTTTCAGTAATACCCAAAATCTAATTTAGGTGATTTAGACAGTGAGTGGGGCATAATTCTTGATCAAATCAATGGGAGAGCCTGCTAAATGGCCTGATTAGGTTAGAGCCCTGCTATGGTACGGGAGCAGCTTCCATTTACTTGCTTCAGAACACTTGTTACATGCCAGAAGTGTTACACATGTTATTTCATTTAATCCTCACAATAGTCATATGAAGGAATATTATTTATGGATGAGAAAATTAAAGCTTAGAAATGTTAACTTGTCACTAGTAGGGGGCAGAGTTGTGGTTCAGACAGACTAGGACTCTACAAC